TTTCCCGCAGAGTGCGCAGCGCGGGGTGCGGGGAGGGGCGATTCTCCTCAACGTGCAGTGATGCCGGTGAGAACGTAGGCTCCTGCCCCACCCCGTGGCTCAGGGGCTGAGCGACGACCTGCGAACCAGGTCATCAGGGCGCATGGCCGGGCTGCAGGCTCCATCCCCAGTAGGGGGCGTGCAGGAGGCAGCCGGTCCATGATTCTCTCCCATCACTGATGCTTCTCTCTCCCTCTCCTTCTCCCTTTCTCTCCCAGATAATAAAAACTATATATGTTTTAAGAGTAGCCTCCTGGATAGGAGCGAACTCAGGAAGAGAACCTGGAACACATCTGTCCTTCAGGGCTGCACTCGTCAGGGAGCTCTCTGAGGGAGCCTGCCCGCAGCCCCCCGGGGCGAACACTTCCGGGGAGGAGCCCCTGGTGTCCGGCGTGGAGGTAACTCACGGCTCAGCGCCCGGCGCACACCACGGACGTGACCCCCTTCCAAAAGGCACAGCTCTGCTGCCCACTGAGGCAGCCCCGGGCAAGACGCTGCCCGGAGAGAGAAGCCCGGGGCCGAGCACAGGGCCCAAGCTCACCTCCAGGCCCGCTCCCCACCCAGCATGGCCTGCAGCTCACAGCAGGCTCCTCCGGGTGACGCTGAGCTCCCATGACGTTCAGGCCCGGAGATGCCCCCTCCACGTGGCACCCGGAGCGGGGACACCACCAAGGCAGGGAGCCAGCCCTCTGGCATCCGGACGGGTCTGTTGCTCACCCAGAAGTGCTTGTCACTGACAATCGAGATGAAAACGTTACTGCAAACTCATGGCGTAAAGCCACTGGGGCGGCTGACGGAGTCTTTACCCATCAGATCTCGTTAGGGAAGAGGGTCTGGCTCCACCAGAACTCACCCCAGCCCCAACCCCGCCCCCCGCCTCAGGGCAGCCACACCTCCTGTGACCGGCCACATCTCAGCTCTCACCAACTCCCCACGCCTCCTTCTCCTTTAAGGAAACATGTGCTGTTTTCGCTGCCTTTCAATCCCTTCGTCCACCGGAGACAGGAGTTACACAGCACCTGTCTCTCTCTGCTTCTGATCAACAGCCAACCTGTTTACTTCTAGGGGGCCTTGGTAACATCTTTAAACATGTGTGCATGTTTCCAGAAGTAACGGGGGAAGGAGGGGGCGGACAGCGCCAAGGGTATGAATGGGAAACTGACAGCTTCTCCACGAGATGCTGCTACTCGGTGACTATTTCTAACACGTGGATAGTGGGGTCATCGTTCACGTACTCTGGCTCATCACCCACGTCTGTCTCCGCAGGTGCACGTGGTGTGAGTCTCTCCCCTGGCAAACCTATCCATGAACGCTGCCTTTCCGTGTACGTGGAGTGAAACGCAAACTCCGAAATGCCGGCTTCTCCACCCCTCCCCCACATCTCAGCTCCTCCGGGGCAGGTCTGGGGTGACCAAGCAGAGCCAGGGTGCAGCCCAGAATCCCCTCCAAGAGCTGGTTCTCCACCTTTCCCCAGCCAAGCTGCCAATCACCACTAAACTCTCCCAAGCAGAGAGGGGAGGAGGGAGAGAGAGATACACGCCGGTAAATGTTAAGTCTACCAACTCACTCCCCGTGACCTCTGGAAGATTCCGCGGGGAGCTGGGAGAGCAGCTTTATTAGCATGCTGCGCCAGGCCCGGCCCCGCCCCCTTTATGAGCCCTTGTTATATAAAATGCCACAAAGGGTAAGGGAGAACAACACACTTACAGTCACACACACGCGTCCAGCCGGCCAGGCCAAACACCGGCGGCTGGACAGAGGGTATTTTTAGTCATTTAAAGGAAAAACACTTTTAAAAAGCCTGAGAACAAAAGTTTTCGTTGTTGTCTTTTTTTTTAATATATTTTATTGATTTTTTTACAGAGAGGAAGGGAGAGGGATAGAGTTAGAAACGTCGTTGAGAGAGAACGATTGATCTGCTGCGTCCTGCACCCCGCCCCCCACTGGGGATGTGCCCGCAACCAAGGTACATGCCCTTGACGGGAATCGAACCTGGGACCCTTCAGTCCGAAGGCCGACGCTCGATCCACTGAGCCAAACTGGTTTCGGCCGTTGTTGTCTTTCTTACACACAACACACACACACGGAGTCCATTCCCTTCCCAGGCACCATCCCCATTCAAATTCCTTCCCCATTCACATTTAAAGGAAAAGGAAGGCGGGGACAGTTCCTTCATGGAGGCGGCACCTTTCCCAGTGCTTCCCTCTGCATTCCGGCTGACAGATCGCGCACAGCGCCCGGTTCACGGTCACGCAGAGATTAAACAGCCCGAAGCAGCCGCTACACACAGAGGGGAGCGCAGACCGGAGCTCCGGGCGCTCGGAGCTGGGACACTATCGCGCTGCACAGCACACACATGCATCGCTGCCACAAAAGCGGCGGGATTAGCGGATTTTCTCTCTTTTAAATCTTCTTCTAAAAGTCAACAACTCCTTTTGCCCCAGTGGGAAAAAGGAGAAAAGGCTCACAGCCCTCGGCGATCACAGGCGCCGGATTCGGAGGCGGTTCCTTCCTGTGAGGAATCTGGTTCGATTCCTCGCGGTGATTAAACTTCTTTGTGCTCCCGGAGAAGGGCCTCCGCCCCGCCCCCTCCAAACCCGCAACGGAGCAATCAAAACGGAAATGCGGCCGGGCCCCCTCCGGCGGGAATGGGAGCGTCCGCTCCCGCAGGGAAGGGGGCGGCCCGGCGGAAAGGGTTAACCGTCCCAGCCGCCGTCCAGCCGGAGCCCCGGCCCGGCCCGGCCCGGCCCGGCCCCGCGGGGGGCACAGCCCTCACCCCCTCCGCGGCCGCGGCCCCGCCCGGCGCGCTCCTCCGTCACTTTCCAACTTCGAAGCCTCCGCTTCTCCCTCCGGAGCCGCCGCCGCCCCCGACCCCTCCTCCCGTCTCCGGCCACCCCTCCGCCTCCCCCGGGGAGACCCCTCCGGGGAGGGGGCATCTGATCGGCCGCCCCGCCAAATGCGGGAAGAAACGAGGGCCCGATCTGCGGCGGAACCGGGGAGGGGCGGGCGGGGCGCTGTCCAAGTTCCGTGCCGACGGCGGCCGCCGGGCGCGGGGGCGGGGGCGAGGGAGGGGCGCCGGCCTCCCCGCTCCCCCAGCCCCCCGCGCCCCCGCCCCCGCCAGCCTCGGAGCCCTGGGAGCGCCATTGGCTGCGCCGCCCAAAGTTCTTCGCTCCGGGCGGCGTGAGGAGGGGAGGGAGCGCGTGTGCGGGGAGGGGAGGGGCGGGGAGGGAGGGGAGAAGTGGGGAGGGAGGGGAGGAGCGGGAAAGGGGAGAAGTGGGGAGGGAGGGGAGGGGCGGGGAAGGAGGGGAGGGGCGGGGAGGGAGCGCGTGTGCGGGAGGGGCGGGGAGGGAGGGAAAGGAGGGAAGAAGTGGGGAGGGAGGGGAGGGGAAGGGCGGGGAAGGAGGGGAGGGGCGGGGAATGAGGGGAGGGGCGGGGAGAGGCGAGGAGGGAGGGGAGGGACCAGGAGGGAGAGGAGGAGCGGGGAGGGAGGGAGGGGAAGGGCGGGGAGGGAGGGGCGGGGCGCGCGGCCGGCGGCTGTCCGCGGTGCTGAAACCGCGAGCGCTGAGCTCAGCGCAACTAAGTCACAAAGGACAACTTTTCCTCCGGAAGAGCCGGCGGGCGGCGGCGGCGGCCCGGCCCCCGCCCCGGGGGAGCCCCTCCTGGGCCCCCGTCCACACCGGACGCCCGCGGACCAGAGTCGGGGCAGAACTGGGGGCCCCGGGGCGCGTTCCTTTTGTCCCGGGAGCGGGCGCGGGCTCGGGAATAGAAAGTGATGCGGAGAAGTGAGGGCCGGCGCCGGAGCACCGCTCTGAACATAGCAGGTGCAGTGGGACCCAGGCATCGCTTCCCAGGAGTTTGGGGTCAAACCACAGTCCCCCTGCCCCTACCCCCAGAAATGCCCACGTTCCCCAAACAGGTCCCCAACTCAAGATGGACGCCGGCCGCTGGCCGCTTTCAGTGCAGCGCGGGCCCGGGCCCTGCCCGCTCCCCTCGGCCCGGGAACCGGCTCCTCCAGGAAACGGGCCCGGTAACTCGGAGGGCGGCGCCGGACTCCTCCGGGAGCCTGAGCGCGGCGCCGAGCGGCACTTCCGGGGTGCTGCCCAGTGCCCGCGCCCGGCCCCGCCGCGGCGGGTGCGCAGGCCGCTCCTTACTGGTTTGTGGCTGAGCGCGGCCACCGCGGCGCCGCTCGCCGAACCGCTTCCTGAGGCGGCCGTTCTGCGGAGACACGGAGCGGCTCAGCGCAGCCGGGGGGTCGGTCCTCACCCCGGCCCCGCGGCGCCCCAGTCCCCCGCCCCGTCCCGCGGCGGCCGGCGGAGCCGGGCCCTTACCTGTGGCTGCCGCCGCATCGGGGCCGCTCGCGGGCGGGCGGGGGCCCAGGCCACCCGGCGGCGCGCCCCGGGCCGCGCAAGTTTGCCGGCCGGGGTGCGAGTGCGAGTGAGGGGAGCGGGGTGTGAGCGGAGGAGGGGGAGGAACAAAGAGCCAAGTAAACACGGCGAGCCCGTGCGGAGCGATGCTCATAAATATTCCAGGCGCGTCCTAATCCCCCACCTCCCGACACACACACGCACGCGCCGCGATGCCGCTCGCCGGCCACAATCGCCCAAACTCCTGCAAACTGTGGCTCCCGGGGTGGAGCCGGGGCCGGCGCACACACTCGCACAGACCGGGCCGGGCTCAGGAAGATCCACCCGGCACCTCAGGCCTGCAGAGCCCGGGTGGAGAACGAGAGGACACCGGGCTCGGGTCTCCTAGGCCCCCGACCCCCCCGTGTCCCCCCAACTGTACAGGACTGCGGAGGGGGAGCGCAGCGGGTCCCGCAGCAGCTACCGTCCCTCTCCGGGGGCAGCTCAGGAAGGAGCCCCCTCCGGAACCTTCAGCGGGGCAGACCCTGCGGGGAGGATCGGGGCGCCGGGCTCGGGTCTCCGGAGCCCCCGCCCCGGCCCAGGACCCCGGCCGCCTACCTGGCGGCGCGCGAGCTCCACGGCGAGCGCCTCGGGCCGGCTCTGCAGCTCCATCCCGGCAACTTGGCGGCACTTTGCGCCACTTTGGCCCCCGCTCCCGGGAAGTTGCAGGGCTCCGCGGGGGCGACCGGACCGGGCCTCCCGGGATGGGGGACACGAGCCCCGTCCCCCACGACCGAGAGGAGGGGGCTGGAGAGGGGGAAGAAAGGTGGCCGGGCGCCCCGGCTCAGCGCCCTCGGCCACCCGAACTCTTCAGGACGCCCGGCGGCGAGTTGCGCCGGGTCCCCGGGCTGCGGGAGCCGCCCGGCGCATGGCCCCCCGGCGCCGGGAGCCCCGCGCAGGCCGGGCGCGCCCGCCCCGCCGCCCCGGCCGCCCGGAGCCGCCGCCGCCGCCGGGGACTATATTTCCTCCGGCCGCGCCGGGATCTCGCGGGGTCTCGGTAAAGTTGTCCCGCGGCCCGATGCCAATTCGGCAGTGCCCGGATGGAGCGGCCCGGCGGCGGGGGTTGGCGGCGAGGGGCGGGGCCAGGGCGGCGAGGGGCGTGGCCCGCCGCTCGCCCCGCCCCCCGCCTGCGCTTGCGCACTGCCGCCCCGCCGCGGCCAGGCGCCCGGAGCAGAGAACAAAAGTGACAGCGAGGGGCGCCAGCTCGCCCACCCGGCTCAGGGCGCCGCGAGGCCCTCCTCTCGCCCTCCCCAGCCGAGCCCGAGGATATCAGGGCGCCCCCATCGCCCTCCTCTGGGGAGCCCAGCCTAAGCCAGGGTTAAGGAAACGTCTGTCCATTTTTCATTTCTTTCCCCTCTGGCTCTGGCCGGCCCCTCCGTCCCCGGCTCCGCTTCCCCTCCCGACTTTGTTTAACGTGTCCCGCCTCCCGCCTGCCTCCCGCGCTAGCGCGGCGACTGTGCCAGCCTCCGCCGCCGCCCGACGGCCACCGCGTGGTTCCAAGAGCGGGAGCATGCATCTCTTCACTCCTCTAACGGCTTCTACACTCACATTAAACTCTACAGAGGCGCTGGACTTTTTAAGACTTTAGTTAAAAATCGTAAATAGGAGGTGTGCAGGAGGCAGCTGATCAATGTTTCTCATTGGTGTTTCTAATTCTGTCCCTCTCCCTTCTTCTCTGTAAAAAAAAATCAATAAAGTATATATATATATATATATATATATATATATATATATATATATATTTATTTATTTATTTTTAAATCATAAATGTGCCAGTCAATGTGACATAAAACAATGATAACTACAGCCATGGAAATCACATTTCCAAACTCTGGGCCCACAGCCAGGAGGTTACTGTCTCCAAGTCCAGTCCCGTGGATTCGCCGGGTGGACTTCCCATTCTAGCCAATTAACATGGGAATGCCTTGGGCCTCGTGGGTAGCGGCCAGCATGTTTGAAGACGCTGGGGAGAAATGTGCAATCGGACTTTAAACGTTCCCACTGGTGGGTCATGGCTACGTCATACTCCACAGCACAGAGAGCACCCAGGCACGCACACTCAGCAAATGCCCCTTTTACCCCGCCACCTGCCACCAATTACACCAGGTTCAGCAGAGCCGTGGGCATTCTTTTCAGCTGGGCCCCCAATGGAGGAGGAGAAAATGCAGGTGCCAAGTTACACAAACAGCGTAAGCTCACCCAGGTAAAAAGAAGGAAAAGTGCCGCCAACCAGCTGTAGCAACCTTTCAGAGGGAGTTTTCCCCCCTAATTTTTAGCATTTTCTAAAATTGTCTATAATGAGCATGCAAGAAATAATCCTCCTATATAATAAAAGCCTAATATGCTAAGTGTCTGGTCATCCTCCTCCATTCAACCAATCAAATTGTAATATGCTAATGATATGCTAAGGCAACTCAACCACTCACTATGACGTGCACTGACCACCAGGGGCCAGATGCTCCAACTGGTAGGTTAGCTTGCTGCTGGGGTCTGACTGATGGGGACTGAGCAAGATGGGCCAGACACGCCCTCCTGCAGTCCCTCCCTGATGGTGCACTGTGGGGTCCCTCAGCCTGGCCTGTGTCCTCTCACAATCCAGGACCCCTCAGGGGATGTCTGAGAGCCGGTTTCAGACCAATCCCACGGCCAGATTAGGGACCCCACTGATACACAAATTCATGCACCAGGCCTCTAGTAAGAAAAATAAAATGAGAATTTAAAAATCTCAAGGTCTCGCTCTGATCTTATGTCCAAGTTCTGGTAAGGAGGGAGCAGTGCCCACCTCACACCTGACGGGAGACACAGCACCGACAGCTGCCGTGAGTGCAGAGGGAGGAGCACGGAGCAGGATCGGGTGGGAGCTAAGCCGTGTTCACCTGAGGCTGGAGCTGGCCTCCTGCATGCACACCTGGCCTTGCCTCCCCTGCAGGTTCCTCCCTCATCCTCTCTGAGCAGTCCTGCCTGGCTTCTGGCTGCTCCCAGCCGGTGGGCTCAGGAGGCATGGGGCAGAGCCCAGATGCAAAGCCTGATGGGGCAGGGAGGGCACGGCTGCTGGGCAGAGCTGGGCCCTCGGAGAGACTTTCTCTCCTTGGGGCCTCAATGCTGAGGATCCTGCGAGCCCAGAGCTGCTGATTCTGCAGCTGCGGAGAAAGGCTGCTTCTGAGTGAAGCAGAGGAAGGAGAGAAGGCGCTCAGACATGGAGAGACAAGTCCTAGGGCCATCGCTGGAGCCAATCAGCGTGCCCCAGGGCCATCCCCAGCCTCCTGCAAGTTCTTCTTGCTGATGCGATCACTTTCCTTCTGGAACTCTCCGGAGCGGGTTTGGGTGGGATGTGTACCCCATTACAACGGAAAGACTCCTGGCGCAACCACCTTACAGGATCCGGGTACAGAGACTGCACCCAACCGTACCCTGGCTCTCCGCTTACAAACCCCAAGGTGCTCGAATTACTACGGAACCTGCTTTCTTAAACAGCGAGTGAGCAAACGCAGTCACCGGGGAAGGCGAGGCGGCGGCGAAGAGAAACCGGTGTACAGATCCTGGGCGCCTCCCTGGAGGCGTAATTAGTGCATCTGGCATCACTCATCCTCAGCTCCTGTAATTTCCAGCTGCGGCTGAAGCTGCTGAGCAGGAAGGAGCCGCTATTAATTAGCACAGATTCCTCAGGTGATGGAATGGAGGGGCGCTGGTTGGGGGAATGCAAGTGCACATCGTCCCACGTGTCGATTCTCACCGAGATCCCTGCCTGCTGGGCTCGCTTAGGGGGTCAGCGGCTGTCTTCTCTGACCGCGGCCCTGGGAGCCTGGCCCTGGTGACAGGCCAGCCCTCCCGCCCAGCTCGGCCCCGTGTCCCTCCCTGATCTCCGAAGCCTGTCATTTCTAAGTTCACTATGTCTTATCCTGGCCTTGGCTTGTGGGGTGGCCTTCTGCCGTCATAAACATACCCCCAATGTTTACCTTCCACTGTCATTTAAAAGTGCTGCCGCTGAGAATAAAGACGTGAGGGAGAGACCACACCATGCCCACGGGTCCCGAATCCAGCCCTGATTTCAATAAAGTCACTTAGGAAACAGTCGTGCTTTTACTGAGAGCTGTCATCTTTCTGCAAAACAGGAACGCAACGAAACACAGCCACTGCGTGCGAACCTGGGCATCACCAGCTTCCGGTCCCTCAGGGCTGAGGCTGTGGGACAGCAACCTGCCCACAGCGGCGATGGAGGGGGAGGCGGGACCCGACACAAGCTCGGCTCAGGGAGCCTCTGGAATCCTGCAGATGCAATGAGGGGCCCTGGCGACGGGAACAGGAGCTAGATGCTCCTTGTTTGAATGAAATGTTTTCTTTCAGATGAGATCGGGCGCGTTCAGGGTGGTATGGCCGTAGACTGAAATGTTTTCTTTCAAATCTTCGGACAGCCTCCTCCTCCTCCTCCTCCAACACCACAGCAACCAGGCAGCAGGTCGGGGAGCTGTCTGTGAGCGAGGCTGAGTGGAGGGGGAGGTGGGCTGGAGCAGGAACCTCTGCACCCCTCTGAGCCTCAGTTTTGGCATCTAGAATATGGGCACAACAACCCAGTTGTCGGTTCCTGTCAACCCAGGTGCTCCAGGAAACGGAGGCCCAGGCTGGACCATTGAGGGGGAAGGCCGGGAGGTGAGGGCGGGGCTGGGGCTCGGCCAGGCTGCGGGGAGTCCCCGTGTCAGCCCGCCTGGGCACCCACTGCACTGTCACTGCCCAGGAGCCGGGAGCAGGAGGCAGGGCTGCAGCACAGACACGGGGATGGAGCTCCATGGGAGCCAGCAGGGAGAGGTCTAGGGGGTCTCCCTGCCAGGGCACAGGGCTCAGCTGCTCCCAGAAGCAGGTCACAGCCCTGGCTGAGGTGTGTGCCTGAGGCAACATCTATGTTTTCCTCTCTCCTCCTCCCTCCCTCCTCTCCACTTTCTCTGAAAAAGCAATGGGAAAATATTCCAGGCAGGGATTAGCCAAAATAACTAAATCTCAGCACATCTGACCACTGGTGCCCTTCTCGGAGTCCTCGGTACTGGGATAGTACCTAGAATGCCAGAAGTGGTGTTTCCTACCGAGATTGCTCCCCCTACCCCATCTCGGCCTTCACTTTTCATACTTTCTCCTCTGCCGCCTGCCACTGTCCCTGTAGGGAGGCCAGAAGGATTCGCAGAGCTGAAGTCTGCTTCGTAAACAAAGCTCTAAAATAGGGGTGTCGAACTCAATCAGAGAAGGGGCCAAAATCTAAAATCCAGCCTAAATCGCGGGCCGAATGGTTTACTGAACAGTCATAAACTGTCATTGTGATGGAAACGCAGCGGAGTGCAGTGATGACAGCGCGGTGCGGGCCACATTGCAAGGCCTGGCAGGATGGATTTGGCCCGTGGGCCTTGTGTTTGACACATGTGCTCTAAAACAAGAACCCCGCTGGGGAAATCACAGCAAGCCTCTCCGTGGTGGGATGGAGCGCCCCCCCTCGGCCTCGTGGTAACAGCCCATGTGCTGAGTCCTGGCGGTGTGCTCTGCACCCATGTGCGCTGTGGTCCTCGCACCCCATGCAGAGGTCACAGGTGAAGAAACGGACTCGGAGTTCAACAGCTGTCCGAGGCCCATCCAGTAAGCAGCACGGTCAAGAAGCAAACGCCATGCAGTCCACTCCAACACTCATGCTCTTTTTAAAAAATTATATTTATATTGATTTCAGAGAGGGAGAGGGAGAGAGAGAAAGAAACATCAA